TCCCCCTCTCACGTCCTTTTCCTTCCGCCACTGATTGCCCTGTCTGTGGGATGCCTACCTGCCAGGCGCAACAAATAGCCAAAGTTGAGTCGTCAGGCCCAGAGAACAGACTTGTGTGTGTGTCGCCTCTGCGGTGGGGAGGCTGGCGCTAAACAAGGGGCAGGGGGAGTAGTGAGAGAATGAGCGTGTGTGGTTTATTGTTTGCAAGGGAGGGAGGCAGGAAGCATTGCGGCGATGCCTGGGACCTCTCTGGGGTGTGCCTCGGAGATGGAGGGGACACACTCCACGGCAAAGGTTTCGGATCCCGAGTGCGGGTGGTGCAGGTGGTGCAGCTGGTGAAGCTGGTTCAGCTGGGGGGCAGGCTCACCTGGGGCCGAGGCGCACGTTGCCGGGCCTCCTGGGCGGAGCGGTGGTGCGCTCGCAGCTCCCGGAGCGCCGCATGAGCCCTCCAGGCGCCGACGGCGGCCGCACCGTGGTGGGCGAGGCCCCCGGTGAGCACGACTGCTGCGGCGAGTTGGGCAGCGAGGCCGTGGCGCCGGGGGGCGGGCCCAGCGCCCCCAGCGGCCCCGGCGCGGGGGAGGCGCCTTCGGCGGCGTCCTGGCCGGTGCTGCTGTTGGCGCTGCCCGGGGTGCTGTCCGACTGCGGGGAGCCCACCGACACAGTCACCGAGCCCGACGCCACGGAGTCCGCGGAGCCGCCGAGGGCGCTCGTTTCCACCTCACTGAACATGAAAGACACAAGGTTACGCAGGCAACTCAACCAAAACGCCCGAAGCGATAATGCCCATGAAACTTAAACGGCTGCGTATCCGAAACTATTGGTCGCACATGGCGCAGAGTTCTGTCGTGAGTTGTACACGTGTTCGGATCACCAAATAAAAGTCATGGAAATCGTCAGCAAGTAGACTGATTTTAACCCACGATGACGTTGTTGAGCTGGAACTTACGTCGCTCTCTTCTGCTCCCTGCTGATCTTGAAGCCCTTGAGCGAGAGGACCTCCGACACTAGAGTGGCTGAGGACGCCGCCCGCACCAACGTGCCGACCGTCTCTGCGAAAGAAGAAAAAGAAAGTCGTTTTAATCACTGCAGCAGCCTAAACAGGTTACACAAAAAGGTAAAGCCAGAGTCGAAACAATGCCGTGCGATGTTCCGACCTCAGTTCCGACAGATATGCGCGTCTGTTCCGCCTCTGTACGAGGCTACACCGCGCACCAAGCTCCGCCCCGCCCCGGCTCCGGCCCCACCCAACCCCGCCCCGCCCCGCATCAACACTCAAGGACAGGCGGAACGGAACGGAACGGAGCGCACACCCGTCAATATCGTTCGCCATTCTCTCCGAAATCCAATTTGGAATTTGAGGAGCGGGGGGCTGCCAAACAACCTGGAGAGGGCGGGGGAGGAAAATGGAATGGGTCCAGGAGGGGCTGAGAGCGCTGAGAGGCCTGCCGCCCAATCCTCGGCCAGGCCCCCCGGGCCCCCCTCGGACACGACATCACACAAAACGAACCGCAGCCCCCCCCCCCCTCCCCGCGCACGACTACACACATCAAAGGACCACCTGATGCTGCCCGCAGCGCGCACTACTGAGACCACGTTCTGGCGCGTGGGCGTACTCCGGCGCTGAAGCACCTTCGTCCTTTGGCCTAAACTCGATATGGCGACCGCATGTGTTGGAAACGTACATCGCAAACATACGGATCAAAAAGACACGAAACTCATGGTATTTTTTCGTGGTTAATCATGACGGGAACACCTGCTGTAAAACTAGATTCGGATTAAAGGTGAAGCAAGAGAGGGGGGGGGGACACGTTTTGTCCTTCTGGTAGAAACAGTCTTTGGGGACTGTCTAAAAAGTAGCAGGTGTCACAGAGCTAGGTACCAAGAGGTATAGCAGGACAAGAGGGAGCAGACACATGAACGACTAGGCCATCGGATGGAGGGCTAAAGTCTCTCGCACGCAAACTCTGCGTCCCACTAGTGCTGGTGGTAGCCCCCCCCCCCCCTACCTCCTCTTTTCCCTCGATGTTCACCGACACGCACCGGCGCCCTTAACCCGCCTCAACCCCACAAGCTTTCCCCTTTGACCCCACGGGGACTGTCCATACATAACGACGGCTATTTTGGCGGGAGACCTTTAATGCTGGGAGGGTTTGATTTCAAACTTTGAATCCCCTCGCCAATAAGATCCACGATGCGAAATGAAAAGTACAACAATAATAAGACACATAATAAAGGGTTCGAAAGGGGGAAAATGTGGAAAATCCATGTCAAATCAACAAGCGCTGGCTTTGTGTGCCCCCCTTGAGCTTACCCAGATTTGCCGCCTTCTGCCTTAGTGCCCCTCCAACCCAATTTTGAGTCGAGACCCGACCACCAACGCCCTCCCCCCCAACCCCCTCATCCAAGCCCTGTTCCATCTCCACGCCACTGCGAACCAGCGAAGCGAGCAGAGCGGCCAGGCCCCTGCAGGCCTGGGTGCAGGCCGAGCTGGCCGAGCAGGCCGAGGCGGTGGCCCAGGCTTATCCTCGGGTATGAGCCGAAAACGCCCATCCAGAGCGGGCGAAAGAAATACAGTGCTCTGCTCTGATTCTGCCGGCTTCTGCTACTAACGTTGCAGTATGGTCACAGTGGTCAGCGCGCAATGTCCATAACCAACACGACCCCACCATCGGCAGCGTCGTCAACAAATACGCCCTGGCCATCAACCAAGCAGCATCGGAGCCCGACGTGACGGTCGGGGTGCGGCTGGAGGACACCTCGCCTCAGGATGACGACCAGAAGCCGTGTGCCGCAAGAGATGTCGTCTCGGGTGTCGTCGAGTCGGGAGTACAGTCGCCCCGCCCCGCCCCGTCACGCCGCGCCCGCAGACACGCCGTGCTCAGCAGGTTTCCGATGTCCTCATTACACCGATGGTACCCCCGGGGGGCCAGGCAACCCCCGGGGAGATGGATTTGGGGAGGGAGGGGGGCGGGCACGACTGATCGGGAGGAGCTCTGCGGGGCCACCCGGTAGCAGGTGCGAGCTAGCCCGGGGGCGGGGGCGTTGGGCGGAGCGGGGCGAGCTCGGGACGAGGACGAGGCTGGCAGCGAGCCAGACGGTAGCGCACCGGACGGGAGTGACAGCGGGCGGGGGTCTGCCGGCGTGGCACTCGGGCGGGACAGGCAGTCGGGGCCGCGAGGGGCAGCTGCTCCTCCAGGTGCACCTCAACGATTGGGCCGAGCGGGTCGAGCCCGAGCATTTGGCACAGCGCACACGGCACGCGGGGCCACCTAGGGGAAAGACGTCAAAGTCCAAAACTTACGCCTTTGCTCCAGGCGAAGACTTGGTTCCCCCCACTCGGAAGAGTCAAGTAGTGTCCGCTGGAGGTGGGCGAGGACAGACCTCAGCGTCGGGGCTGCATCGCAAAGCCGCAGTGCTCAACATTCCCTGAGGCGACGTCAGCACCCCCCCCCCCCTTCCCTCCGCTGTATCTCCACGTCCCACTCCCCGCCATGTGTGATGTTGTGCGGACTAATTCAGACTACTTAGCTGTTAGCCGGGCCGGGGGGGAGGGACCGGGGGAGGCCCCTGTGGTGTTAGGGCGCCCATCCGCCCGGAGGAATGCTAGTAGCCATTAGTTCTCCCGGAGCCCCCCCGGACACTGTATGGGCACTACTGGCGCAGCCGAGCATGGCGTTAAGCGAGCAAGCGGGGGCGTGGCGCGGCGTGGCGCTGAGCGCTTTGTTCGCGTCATGTCATGCAGACGCCCCCACCGCCCCCGCCGCCCCCGCCGCACTACCATAAGGCAGAGGCGCGCCCCCGCCCGCCCCCGCCACTACCGCACGCCCCTTTACCACCCCCGAGGGGCCTGGCCGGCACCCGGTATGCGTCCAGTCCCCACAGGACGGCTCGGGGATCCCCGTCAATGATGGGGGGACCTCAGACTCTCGAGTACCCGTCGGAGAAACACCTGCTTTAAGCTGCTTACTCTTTGCCGCCTAGTAATAAGTAGATTCATTGTGAAACGTTGCGGCGCGGCCATGACGCTGATCGCGCTGTGATCGTTTTTACAACCCCCGAAATGCACGGCGGTACTGAGAAATGAGAGTTACATTGCTAGTCCATTCATTCAGTAGTCCGTTCTTGTTTGAAAGTAA